CTCACTTTGGTGGGACTCTAACAATGGAAATTGGTACACTGATGTTCCACGATAGGAGTTCATCGAAACAGAAATTACAAGTCAACAAACAGCCTCAGGCAATGAATACTTGTAAATGGTGTTTGTGCCTCTAACATGCTGATTGTGGGTCCTCTAACGATGAAACTTGGTACACTGATGTACCATGGTGAGAGTTCATCGAAACAGAAATTACAAGTTTGTAAACAACAACAAACAGCCTCAGGCAATTAAGTGATGTTTTTCCTATAACTTTGTACACTTATCTACTTTGGAAGTGAAATAAAAATGTAGATGACGACTAACAGACTGAGGCAATAAATACGTGTTACTTTTTATATGGACATTATGCCTCAATGCATGTGCATGCCGTAAAAAAAGGAAAGGAGGCAAGTAAATAAAAAATTCTGCGAATTAAAAAAGTGTGGAATATAGGGATGCCATAAAAAGGAAGGAGACAAGACAGAGATGACCTAGTGTATGTGATGCATTAGTACAGTGGGATGATGGTTACATCTTCAAACTGACATTGCTTGCTCGTGTAAATCTTCCTCCACACAAGCCCTATATTGTCGCCACTTTTCTCACAACATGAATTTGTTTAGTGTGAGGACAATGGTGAGGCTGAGACACATAGATCCACTCGTGCATAAGAAACGAGTCATAGCTGCACATCATACAATAGAGATCACTCGTGCTAGCAAGAGATTTTGATGACAGTGCATTTAGCCGGCACTCTTTAGTTGAGTCCCCTCTCTCAAGAATATTAAGACCAGTCTGTAAAGGGATTCTCTGGCGGGCCATGAACACAGCATTGTAAAACTCATCGTTAGTTGAGCGAACAACGAAGTCTTAGACTGCACACAATGCAGTCACAACCAAAAACTGAGGAGCTGTCAGAGAGGGCAACACCTGTGCATCACGTGCTTAAGAGATGAGTCGTTCTATGAGGGAGCACAGTCATGCTTTGCGACAATATAGGGCTTGTGTGGAGGAAGATTTACACGAGCAAGCAATGTCAGTTTGAAAATGTAACCATCATCCCACTGTACTAATGCATCACATACACTAGGTCATCCCTGTCTTGTCTCCTTGCTTTTTATGGCATCCCTATATTCCACACTTTTTTAATTCGCAGAATTGTTTATTGACTTGTTATCCTTGCGCATTGCTAGATTTTAGTTTTCGGGCGCGGGCGTGCGTCAATGCGCATCCGCGTGCGTGCCTGACGTAACAGCATAAAAGAGTGCGCTATTTTTCAGACTGGACCTGGGCCTACCTGCTGGTTGTGCAGACCTGCCAACCCTCCCGGAATTTCCAGGTTTATCCCTGGAAAAGAGATGCTTACCCGCTGCCCCGCATATTGGTTAAAAACTCCCGGATTCTCCGTGCTGCGCGTTCGGCACACCCACACTATAGATACCTGCTGCCGCGCGGTGAAAAAGTCACGCAGTGAAAGCTGGGAGCAACAAGGCTAGCGCGTTTTTAGTGCCCTGGATCAACTGGAGTGTACGGACCCGACGCGTACATATAGCAAGTTCCGGCCACGCCCCACGCGTACTAATTAAGGCCACGCCCAAGCGCACCCTTTTTTGTTTTTATAAGAAACCAGTTTTTTTGTAGCAAAACCAGTGATATTTTACTCTGTCACATTCTCTGCTCTGCCTTGTCCGAGTGTTTAGTGTGTGTGCGAGGCGTGATGTTCTCTGCTCTGCCTTGTCTGGGAGTGTTTGGTGTGTGCGCGAGGTGTGACGTTTTCTGCTCTGCATTGTCTAAAAGTGTTTAGTGTGTGTGCGAGGTGTGACTTTCTCTGCTCTGCCTTGTCTGAAAGTGTGTGAGGTGTGACGTTCTCTTCTTCGAAGGCTCTGACCTTCATTGCCTGTTAAGTAGGTGGTATCTTTTGTGAGACGAACAGACATTCGAGAAGTGAGATTGAGAGTAACAGACACAAACCCCAACTACAGTATCCTCTCTGCGCATGCGCGCCGAGGGTTAATTACTACAACAGAACACATAATAAGCACCAGATGCATTGTGAGGAGAGTGCACGCTCAGTCCGCTTATGCACGATGTTCACTACCGGATGCCCTCAAGCTCGCACATGGAAAAGAGTATTAAAAGGGCATTGCTTGCTAAAACTATAACACTTCTACCACAATGCTGTGTTTGAAGATTTGTGTCCTGTTTATTTCAAAAGTTCAAGTTTTTCCCAGTCAGAGCCAACTGGTCCCTATTTTTCTGTTGGAGGCCGAATTCTAGCAACTAGCTAACTCTACAAAATCGGCCATACCATTTCAACTAGCGTTCAATGTCACACTGACCTTTCACATGGAGCAAATGATGGACAATTGGATTGAGAATTTCTGGAATTCCGCCAAACCATTGATTCCTGCACACTGGCAGCTTTGAGCATAGAGTAGCTCCGATGTGGGGTTCATCACTTTTCAGTAATCTTCAAGGAGTTCATCGCTGTGATATCAGGACAAACAATACTGACACAGCTGATTACAAGAGTATTTTTATCGGGGATCTACTCATACGGAGGTTAGAGCTAATCCTAAGGCTGAAAAGGATAGATGAGATGTATTACAACACTAAGTGTATTCTATATAGCGAAATATTAACTTTGTCATAAGGATATGACGGGTGGTACAGTTATCAAGTGTGTATGTACAGAGAAAGATCAGTAAATAATCAATATTGCCAGACCACACATACTCACCTATCCTTTTATGGTGAGTCATGCAGTACTACAAATTCACAATCACTTGCAATTATTTCTCTGTTTAGTCAAAGACCCACCACCTGTGGAAGACTGACTCCTGGTGTAGCTCAGGCTGGTCATGCAGCAACCTTGCAGTGCCCGGTGACTCTAATACCATATCTTGTGGTAGCTATATACTTCCAAATGTGGAGCTGTTTGGACCCAGGGAACAGTTGTTGAATATATAGGCACTCGTACAAGTTTCATCTCCATGCGTGCTACCATTGGGGAGTTTGAGAAGTGAATAAGTAAATTTAAACAAAGGTTCCTGAGGCTATTTGTCATTATTTACAAACATGTATTGTTGTGATTTTGATGTTGGCTATTGAATACATTATGTCTACAAACTTTCGTTCACATAGCCCTTACCAATTGTGAGTTACACTGACACATGTAGTATGCCCCATTATTATGTATTGCCCACTACAATGTATTGCCTGGGGCAATTTTGTTGTTGTTTAAAGTGAACAACATTGTTTACAAACAAACAAGTAAACACAGTCTCTTCGCATTACCTACAAAGTTTCATGTCCATACGTCATTTCGTTTTTGAGCAGTTCATCTTGAAGCAGAAGAAGAAGAAGAAGATGATGAACAAAACTCCCTATCATAGCCCCATACATCTATGATGCTAGGTACCATGCCATCCCAAGTACTACCATACTTAGTGATACTGTGAAAGTTACTTCTGAAAGCCCTGTGCATGGACTTTCTGTTCTTCGTAAGTATCGTGCTTTTTCTATATTTTGCTATAAAATTGCAACATTACCTTGTTACATCTATACATCTTTCAGTGCCGAAATATTGTCGAGCGAAGTGAGCCTAGCTACTTAGTTGTCTTAGTGTGTGGTTTTTTTTCTATTATTAGATGACGTCTATGCCATTCTGCCCAAATCGACAAATCCCCTTAATGCCGCGCACGCACGCGCGCTGTGGCGATCTTCCTTCCTACCGTTATGTAGTCTGGTGCCCATACCCTTCAGAAAAATTACACGCGCACACGTAAACGCATGCGCGAAGGAGGGAGAGAAAGGGTCTGGGTACTGCAACAGGTTTGTTGGATATCCCTATTCCCTAGGCGAATGACATGTATGAACCCTGCTTTCACATGTACTATGTAGGATTGTATAGGCTGACAAAATCCCCCAGTATATACCTACCTTCATACGTGTCGGTTGCCTAGGGATATCCAAACTATGCCACTTATCTCGAGTGGTTGCGGTTACACCCAACTGTGATGAATACCATTATGCGCCACAATACTAACGCCTCCCTCCGAAAAAGCAAAAAGTCTGCGTCGCGCTTTAGTATTATAGCGCATAATTATATTCATCACAGTTGGGTGTATACACTCGAGATATAAGTATTTGGTATATGTTACCCCAGCAACGGCGCATTATAGGGTAGGATATAATTATTGGCCAGTAGTAGCACCCACTTAGCTGTACTACCACCAACTGCAGAAGGCTGAGTCAGAGGGCTGAGCTACTTCCTAATCAACACTCACTTTGCTTTCCTTATAGGGATTCAGGCATTGTGCTGGAGAAACATATACCAAGTAGGTTTAAGTATGCTCTATGACGCGCAATAGTAGCTGAAATTCCTTGGCCCATGCGTTTACCCATGCGCATATATTAGGTGAAGGGTCTGGGCACCAGACACAGACCTACGCACAGCCTCTGTGCCTGCCTTTCAGCCTGCTGAGACATTCATGACATGTCTCACTCAATCCGGAACTTTTTGCTTTTATGTACTGAAAGGGTAGATGAAAGAAACAACTAAAGCTCCAACTACCACATCCAAGTGCTGACTGACCACTTCTGAGGATGCGTGGGTGGTTTTTGCGAGATAATGCCATTATTCCGCCCGCCTAACGGGTCAAAGTTCACAATTGTGCAAGTTTTGATCGGAGTGTGTTAATTTACATTTTGTGACCGAAAGGGTTAATATAGTATTATATAGCAGGATTGTGCATGCATTTAGTTATCATAGGCACTAATACTTTATGTATCAGTTTCTGCTTATTTAAACAGATCCCCATGGCGTCCAAAGGGCCTTTGGGCGCCATAGGTGTCTCCTTAAAATAATAAGCAGAAATTGATGTATAACATATTAGCGCCTAGTATTATAGCCATATATAAATTCTTATGCACTCATGGAGGCTCTGTGGATATATATATGTAAATGGCGCCCAAATGGTTTTAATGAGATGTATTTTGAAGTAAAAAAACACATACACATATTAATAAGATGAACAGAGCAGAAATGTTTTTAGTCCTCTTTCTCATGATCAATGTCCCCAACTGGTTCCTGCTGAGGTATGAGTGAAGAAAATTCCTCAGAGTCAGGAGTAAGATGGGGAGGGGCACTGGCACCGGCAGCAGCAAGAGAATAAGGTGGTGGTACATCTATACCATCAGGTGACATCTATAATTATGTGGTGTATAATAATAGTGATAAATCACAATTCTACAAACAGCCTTACAGGAGGTTTGGTTGCACGACTATTAATATTGACAGGAGCTCCAACTTGTTGAGGGTCGATAACCTCGACAATGGTGGGGTCATTGTTCCTGTGCCAGCGGGCACCCCAGCGGTGGATACAGGTGACCAGCCAGGCCACAGTACAGAACGTACAGCAGGAGCAGCAGTAGACACACATTATAATGGGTAGCACGATGAAGAGGGACACAATGAATGCAGCTACGTATGCAAAAGAAAGATAAAGACAGGAGTATAATGACAGGAGTATAATGACAATGCTTGATATCATACAGTAGCATGTCTGGTTCCATTTCAACGCCTATGCATTCTGTTGTGAAGGACAATCGGCTAGGTTCCCTCTCACTGACTAAGGCTATTTCCACACAATACACAACTTACTGTCATCAATATCTCCATAGCGTTGGTTATCACACTCATCGTAATCATCAGCTGGAGTAAACAACAGTCAGTTGGAAACTCCAAATCAGCACAGAGTGATTTGTTTTCATGCATTGAAACCCCGTTGCTAACAAGATCATTAAACAGTAATTATGCAGAAGGCGTGCACGCGGGCGGAAGCGCCCGTAAAGAAGGAAGTGCATAGTTACAATACCATGAAATTCCCAGCACGCCTGCGACCCAAGCGGTGGAGTAGGGCCAGTGCAGCCATAAATTCTCAGCTACGACAGGCCTTACGTTCATGCCGACACAACCCAAAACCGCCCGACAGATTCTTGTCTGCGCCGTGGGCCCTGAGGTGTACCCGATCTTCGGCCATAGAATTTAGCCGCCAGCACGCGAATACGAAAAGGAGGGATATCAACGATAGGAAGGCTTACCTCTGACGAGTCCGAAAAGATTGCCAGCCAACAGCACCACTGAAAATCTCTCGAGCGCCGTCAGCGCCATAGCTCTTGTGTCGTGTATAGAGCTAGCTAGGTCGTCGTCGGTCGACTTTTAATTAGTATCCGTTACGCCCCGCCCCGCCCCTTCTGCCTAACCATGACGTAATGCATAAACGCATGCGCACTAGCGGACAAAACGACTGAATCGTCAATAGAAGGGAGTGTTTGATTACCAGCGCATCAACAGACCGCCACAGGGGTAGTGCAAGACTACGCTAGCTACAATACACCCCACATGCAATCTCAAACGGGACGAGACTCGCTTTGATGGTGGCCGAGAAAAGAGATCTCCCCTATGCTGTGACCCTGAATTGGATAAGATTTCGTCTAAGCTTTGCACTTTTGAGACCCAGCATCATGTCTATCATGAGGGGAACGAGATCATCCCGTCACCAGCCAGACACTGAGTGCCCAATTGACCTTCAGTTGGCAGAATGCCACCTGAATAAACTGCTATAAACCGAACTACCTGCTCCTTTACATCCTTCACTTTGTCGTGCTTCTATCTTTAATTCCATCTGCTCTCTCTGCATGTTTATATTATATTTTTCTCCCTTAAAAAACAGCTAATGAATTCACTGTCATTTAGCGTATTCGTTGTGTGAATTTGTCAACAATACCATGTCATAGAGAGAGCTACAGTCCTTTTTTTTTAAAACCATCACTATACAAAGCCTCTCGATCACACCTGGCATTTTTCTTCAAAATATTCTCACTAGCTATAATACTGAACAACATTCAGGTGGCTCAGTTTGTTATTATTGTGCCACGCATGCGCAGCGAGGGTTATAGTATATACTTAGTCTGTGTGTGTATGTCTGTCCTTGCACTACAGGCTACGAGGTGGCCCATGAGCGATACCAACGTCTTCATAACTATAGCTACGTGACCCTGAAAAACAAAAGGGAGGGTGTCGTTATTTTAGTCCTTATAGCTAACTGTCTTCTTTCATTTCAAAATGTACTGCAATTATAATTTTACACATAGTTTGTCTGTGAGCTTGAAATGTAGTCAAAACAATAAACATTATTCACTGTGGGCCTTACACTGGCCATGTTGCCATAGCTGGCAACTATATACCCTAAAATTATGGAAGCCCTTTTTCCATACTCAGTGACGTAACAACAGTGTGTGCAAATTCTTTTAGGTGCGATAAACATTAAAAACAATTCATTGATGATTACAAACACTTGATATTTATTCACCAAAAGGATAAAAAGGGAAACGTTAAGTGCTTACGCACTCACGAAAGTCATGCACTGAAAACAAAAGGTCTCCTCCTGATTTTCTCAACTACATGTGAGGTACTTGCTGCATTTCAACAATGCCTGGTGATGGATGGTGTTGAGGTTGCTACATAGAGAAAAGAGTGGGAAGATAGTTGTAATACATAAGCCTAGACAAACTCGGTCCCTACTTCCTTATCAGTCAGTCTTTACTTTTGATGTGGGCAGGCAGTCATTAGATACACATGTGTGTTAATGCGAGCATGATACAATATTTTCCAAGGTGCATGGGTCATGGCAACTTGGTGCGGTATGCTGATGGTAATAAAACCAGTTGATGAAGTTTGATGTGCATACTATTATACACTGTATGATAATATACAGTATATAGTTTATTCAGCCTCACTGTTCTTCTGGAGATATCGGGTCTGGTTGATCTCCAGTAATAAAACCATCCTATGGATGCAAACGTGCTTCCCACACCACAGAGGAAAAGAAACAGCAGTGGTGGAAGGGTTGTGATGAGGAATAAAATGACAAGGAAATCTACAAAGAGCATGTATATAATATTGTGCCTATACCACCAGAATAGCTGTAAGTAGCTCACCATCACCATCGCAGTAGTGATTCGCTGAAATAAAACAAAGGAAAAAAGCGAAAAAAGTAACAGCAGGTACAGTTGCTTTCCCCTAAATCAAGTCCACAGTCCCAACTCAACGCATAGTAGGAGTAACGGAAATGTAATTTCCCCAGCAACTACCCCGTCCAGGCGCCTTAAAAAATGGATATCGTTGTTTCGCACTTCCGATAAAACAAGAACAAGGATCTGTAGCTAACCCCAAACAACTGACGTGACGGCACGGCGTGGAGGCGAAGGAAGAAACTCACCGTTAGCGTATCCGAATAGAAAGGTAACCACCAATATAACAGAGGGCAGAGGTCTAAGCGCCATCTTTTCAATCTCACGGCAGCCACCAAGACCTGAGACGTCCGGTGGGTGTGGGTGTGTGGCGTGACTGTGTGCTGACTCTGCACTGCTATGCCCCGCCCCCCACCCTCTATCGGACAAACCTATGCGCATGCGCGTCATGAATGCAATTACAACCCCCATTCTCTAATCTCTGCTCCCCCCCAACCCTCATAACGCGGTCTGGCTAGCTATGTGAATAAACCCTAACTATGTTGGATAGTCTGGGGTCCCTGGTGTAATGGCCAGGTCTCTTCTCAACAAGTCCTCCCTATCTTTTGGCATCAGCAGATGACGAGTGGGCTCTGAGTCCTCATATTCATCGCCTTCAGCATCTCTCCTCACATCAGTCCTGTTGACTGAGTCATAAGAGTGGGGCTGTGAGTCTGAGAGGTTGCTCAGGTTGTGTTGGGTGGACATTACACTTAGAAAATCCCCACGAGTCCAGCCATAGGCCACAGCATTCAGGAATCCTTGCAGTGGGAGTATATAGTCCTGCCTGCCTAAGAATGTAACACATAATGGGCAAAATAATGCACACTTTATACTTCACCTCACAAACATTAACTCTGTCGAAAGGATATGATGGGTGGTGTTGTTGTCAGTGTGTGTTTACAGTAAAAGATCAGTAGATCATCAATATTGCGAGACGACAGATACTCACCTCTCCTTTTATTGTAAGTCATACAGTAGCTATTATACTGCACACACCACATCACACGTTTTTCTCTGTTTAGTTAAAGACCCTCCTCCTGCGGAAGTTAAGCTACTGACTCCTGGTGTAGCTGAAGCTGGTCGTGCAGCAACCTCAGTGACTCTAATACCATATCTTGTGGTACTTCCAAATGTGGTGCTGTTGCTGGCTAGTGGAAAAAGAGATCACCTGCTGAATTATACATTCGACCCTGTAAGGACCTGCAGGAATTCTGGGCTATATGTGTTCCAGACAGCACTAAGTATTTGGCATTCATATCAAAATACTGTAGAAATGAAAAGCACTGAAGTGCAAACCCTCGGCGCACTGTGACGCGCACGCGTAAGTAAACGCATGCGCCGTAACACTAATTGACGGGCTGGGTTTAGTTTTAGCTGTTACTCGTGGTCTCTCTTGCCAGCTCACGCAGAGTCTGACGCGGGCTAACTACACTACTAGATAGTATGCGAGAGGCGATACACGCCCTGCCTTGCTTCTTCTGGTGCCTCCGAGGTACGCAGAGCACGCGGATCGATCATGCCGTAGTAAGCCGTTGTGTATTTGTATATTGGCTTTTTCGCGCTCTAGCTTTGCAACGGAGCGTTTTCAGAGAAAACTGTTCGAAATTTCTGACCTTCATTGCCCGTTCAGTAGATGGCATCCTTTGTGAGACGAACGAACACTCGAGAAGTGAGATGACGAGTAACAGACAGACAGACAGACACACAAACCCAACTACCGTAACCCTCGCTGCGCATGCGCGCCGAGGGTTAATGAAGTCCAAACCCTCGGCGAATTGCGCACCGTTAATTGATGGGCTGGGGTATCATAGTAGGCGCTAGTAGCTCGCGGAGAGTCTGGCACGGGCTAGCTACAGTAGTTGATAGCGTGCGGGACTCTATACACGCCCTTCGTTGCGACTTATGGTGCCTTCAAGATACACAGAGCGAGCGGACCTGGTCGGAGTCGCAATCGCGGTCAGCCGCGCCTCACATTTCGAACGCCTATATAGATACGCATGCGCACAGCTAATTGATGGGTTGGGCCACGCAACTCGGTCCGCGACGCGACCGTGCCAGTCTCTCGTTCTCGGACGCAGTCGTTTCAAGAGAATCGCTTTATAATTTTTCAGGCTCGCGTAGTTATGAAGGCGTTGGTATCGATCACGGGCCGCCTCGTAGCCTGTAGTGTGAGAATAGCTGCTGACAGACAGCCGACAGACACACACACACAGAACGACTACCGTAACCCTCGCTGCGTATGCGCGCCGAGGGTTAATAACTTCTGAACATGTGCATGGCCGTTGTTTGTTCTTCGTAAGTATATACCGTGCATATAATTTGCTATAAAATGTGTTACATCTTTCAGTGCCCCAGCCAAATGTAACCATCACTGCCAGTCCTCCTGGACACCTCTCCACCTATGGATCATCAGTGAGCCTTACTTGTGAGGCAGTTCTGAGTCCTGGTGGACAGGTTTGCCTCAGTCTCACTGGTGTTGGGAGGACCAAGGATCAGATTCAGTGAGAGATTCTACACAGTGGTGGAGGCTGGGTTTGGTCTGACACCCACCAGCACTATGACCATGACTGGAGTGACTATGAGAGACCAGGGAGACTGCACTTGTACTGTGAGGGTGGCAGAAGAGGGCAATGTTCTTGTCCCAAAGTCCTTCCCCTTTGTGGTTACAGGTAGCTAAGTAGTGAAAATGATTGTTAACGAGACCTGGTATTATGTGCCTCTATTTATTGCACATTGAAGTTGAAATATAATATATTAACCTCTTACTTGTAGCTATAGAACATAATTATAATAATTATATTGTGTTATTTAGCTACATAATATAGTGCCTGAGTGAGCGAGTGCAATAATTATTATTGTCAAGCAAAGTCAGCCTAGCTACTCAGGAATATGCGGTTTTCTATTTTGAGATGATGTCCATGACAGCACTGTCACATGTAAGTTAATATTGAACATACTTTCATTAGTGTGCCTCTCATGTTGGCTTGCAAAAAAGCTGATGCCGACCCATGCGCAGTGGAATCTCATTAAAGTGAACTCCAGGGGACAGGCTCAAAGGATTAGTTTTATTCAAAAGAAGACATCAACGGGCTGATACTTACGAAGAAGAGCAAGAAACTTCACCCCCAGCCAATCCGTGGTCAGTCAAGGCAGCCCCACC